AGAGCGACACGTCAGACAGACAGAGAGGGGGAGAGACAGGGGGATATCAGCACACACACACAAATATAAATAACGACTCTCACGGGAAGAGGCGGCTGTGTACGTCACATCTACATCAGTGCGTATTGCCGTTCCTTTGAGTGTGGGGCTGCCTGTGTGAGTGTGTGTGTGTGTGTGTTGGCCCGGCTAGAAGCTGCCGCTTTAGCTCCTCACCACCACCACGAAGGACGTGTGAGGACTGACAGAAGAAAAGATACAAGCAAGGAAACAGGGAAGAGAGCGGAGTAACACCCACAACTATATATATATATATATCTATATTTATAACAATTGCAACAAAAGCCAACGAGTTGACTGTTTTTATTTAAGCGAATAAAACGTAAAAAACAACAGCAACAACAAACAAACAAACAAACAAACAAACGCAACCGTGGCGAGGGGAGAGGGGGGTGGGGTCAAGCAGCAACAACAACAAGGATAAAACCCTTCTTTCACTGGGTACCGCTTTTGACACACGCACTTTGGGCTGACTCTCCAGGGATCCCTTGATTACATGGAAGAGTACCTCAACAGCGAGTCGCTACCGCGAGATCGGACGCGTCGCAGGCGCAGTAGTAGTAGCAGTAGCCGCTCATTGCAGAGGCGACGCCACAGGGCGACACGTTATCGGCGGTCGCGTTCGCCCCGCCGTCATTCTTCCAGGAAGCGGCGGCGCAGCCCATCCCGGAGAAGCAGCAGCAGGGAGAGTAGTTACAGTGGCGATCGAAATAGGAGTGACAGAAGTGAAAGCCGAGGCCGTCGTCGATCGCATTCGCGGTGGCATCGCAAGTCAGGCGGCTCACGCAGGGGTGGAACAGCAGCGGCCTTGTTGAACTCGGAGCCGTTTAGCGTGCGTGCGGACCACGGCGTATTAGAGCACCCACAGACGGATTGGGTGTGCGGGGTGTGCAGCAACCCCAATTCCGTGAAGCGGGAGGAGTGCTTTAGGTGCGGAACCCGCTTCGCGGTGAGTGTCAACGCAACCCCCAGCGAAGAGATCAGGATTTTAGGCCTGCCGGGGAGTGCCACCTTTGGCGACATTCAACGGGCACTGGAGGACCGCTTTGTGGAGCACGGTGACACCTGCCACATTGTTGCGTACAATATGAACGGCAACGACGAGAAGCAAAAGGATGATGGTAGGGGACATACCGCCTATGTACTTTTTGGTAGTGTAGTGGAAGCCACAAAGGCACTCACGTATGCTCGGTCGTTGCTTGTCATTGGCCAGAGCATGTGTGCCATGGAGTTTTCGTTGCACAGACGCGTCAACAAGAAGTTGACGTCTATGGCAAGCAGCACTGAAAAGGCGGCCGTCGTCAGGTCAGTGGATGGCCTTCCTGAGCATCTGCAACCAGCTGTGTGGAGGCCGGTAGACCACTTCTCCTCCTCGGAGGAGGAAAAGGAATATCTGGACCTCTTGTCAAGGCACTGGGACAAATTATCTCAGGAGCAGAAGGACTACTACGACGAGGGAGTTCGTAGGGCACTGGCGGCGCAGCGCCGAAAGCAGCAGGAAACGAGTGGGACGACCACCGTCAGAGAAGCTGCCCCAAATACCGCCCCCGTGGCTGCTGCTCCGTCCAACACTGGTTCCTCGCTTGACAGCATTAAGAGGCGGCTGGCGGAGAAGAAACAGGCCATGCGAGGCAGCACAAGTGAGGCACCCGCGGAGACGGAGCAAATGACACCAGCCGCCTCCTTGAAGAAGAGGCTGGCCATGAAGAAGGCACAGCTGTCCTCAGTAGCGAAGCCGTTGAGCGCCACAGAGGCGGAGGCGGTAACTGCAACTGTGGCTGTGTCACCAGCTCCCACCCTCACGCCGCACAGCGACGCCGCACCGGCCCCTCTGCACTTATTCTTCGGTTTTCCCATTCCAGCACGCTTCCCCGCAAAGACGGACTACCTGACAAATTCGAAGTCGCCTTCCTTTCGCGCCGGGTTGATGCTTCGCTACGTGCAGCCCGCTGTGGCGGAGCGTATTGTGCCCCCGTCGGCCCGTCCACCGCCGGCTTGAGATCCAAGCCACTAGCACAATGGCGAAGACGAAGGAAACGGCAGCAGTAGTAGCAGCAACGAATCAACAAAAAAACAATGGCAAAGATAAGAAGGAGGAAGACCAAAAAACGAAAACGGAAACAAAAAAAGAAACTGTCAATGTCTTGTGAACTGACCTTAGGCATATGCTTTTTGTTTTTCTCTTGTTGAGCATGAGCGACGAGGTACGGCTCTAGTTGCGTGGTCTTTCTCTTGTAAACAAGGACATCACCCCTCACCCCGCTCTCTCTCTCTTTCTCTCTCTCTCTCTTTCCTCCCTGACTGACTTTTGTTTCCCCCGAACGGTGCCGTAGTACAAAAAAACAAACAAAACGAACTAACACACACACACACGCACACACACACAAGGCAACGGCGACGTAGAGGATATCAGGTGCCACGCCTACACAAAAGAAGGAGAAGCTTTCAGGATGACAGGCCGAAAGCGTGTCATTTGGGATGAGAATAATCTTGATCAAAACGAGGAGTACCGCCGCCTGCACCCCGTGACGATGCGAATAACGGAGCCGAAAACCCCCTACGAGTATGCCAAGATGGAGGATGAAAGCTTCTGTGACGAACTCGACGTGACGGATGGAGATGGGAAGATGGAAGAGGGGACTAGCAGCACGTGGGACCCGAAGGTAAACGCATTAGCTAGGAAAATAAAGGAGGAGTGCATCCAGGGTGTAGCTAGGACAGTTGCACCGGTAAGTTCCTCGGGCCGGCCCATGTTATCACCTGGTGTTACAACCGGCAAGCTGCTTGAGAAGGAACTTGACGAGGAATTTCGAAGGATGCGCAAGGCGGTGTATGCGGACGAGGGGGCCAAGTTCAAGGCCCAGTTGGCCAAAAAACAGGAGAAGGCAAAGGATTGAGGTTGACTTCCAAGTGGTTTCATGCCAGTAGAGATTATGTTTCGAATTCTCTTTTTTTGTTTGTTTGTTTTAAAGAAAACATTTGTTCTTTCAGGACGGTGGCTTGGCGTTGGGCGATGTGACGGGCGTGAGACGGTTTTGAGACGTATTTTTGTGGTGGGCTTCGTCGCTGCCGTCGTTATTGTGTGACGACGACTAAGGGCCCAGTGGTGGCGTCAGGAGTAGTTTTCATTCTCCTTTCCTTCCCACTTTTTCACCTTTACACTTTTTGCCTCGTTTGTTGTTCTCGTGTGTATAAGTTTGTATGGGTGCGTGTGTGTGTGTGTGTATGTGCATGTCGTTCGTGCTTCTTCTTCTTTCTTCTACCGCGGCTCTCTGAAGGGACTGCGACTGCACCTGGCGAGAAGTAGTCGGAGGAGGAGGATGAAAAGAGGAAAAGAGAAGAAACAATAAACTCCATGGTAATCAGTGGCCCTGCGTTTGGCGTCTTGGATCGAATGGTGGGGGGTTTGCCTGCTGCTTCTGTGAACACCACACGGTCTCTGGCGGGATGTTAAGGGTCCTCCGCTGTGCTTTTATGTACATTGAGACAAACGAGAACATATTTGGTATTTTCTGGTGCAGAGGCAACACATGCGGTGCATCCCGGCGAAGATGTTTTCTGCGTCTCTTGTGGGGAGCTGCTGCGGGGTGTCTGCACGGCGCGTACGCGGAGATGGACTACCTGAAGGGGGGACGTGTCAATAGACGACTCCGCGTGACATTGCCGTCGCCGCACCGCTGCTAACCATTACAGAGGAACCATGTAAGAGCTGCGCAGGGGATTGAATTTAATAGTTGAGCGTGCGGCATTCAAAAGGGGTGGCCTTCCCACGACGCCGCAGGAATACCGCAAACCTGACGACCGTTGCTTTAATATGGTGGCCGCAAAGAGTTGCCGTTGTGTGGAGGAGCAGCTGAACCGCGCCGTGGGGATTTCGGGCACGACGCTTGCCTCGGGACGAAACCGTAACGCGGACGCTTTACACACGGCGAATCTGGACGTTGGCGGCCTGAGCTTTTCTTTTTTGGCCTACTGCTGCGATAATATGACTGTTTTTCCGGTTCAGTGGCGGCGTCAATTATACCCCCTCCCTCCATTTTCTTCCCTGCCATTTCTTTCCATCTCTTCCCCCCCGACTAACACTTACCCACACACGAAAGGAAATGAAGGAATAAATTGTGCTTCTGTTTCGTTTTGCGTTTGCTTGGTTTTTGTTTGGAGGTTTTTTCTCTTTGGAGTTCTGTGAAGTCCCGCCTTCTTGTTTCCGTTGCCTTTCGAAGGAGAATAGCGGTGAGTATTGGTGGTGGTGGTGGTGATGAGGCCCGGGCTCAAGCACCTGGGCATTGCCTCGGTGATTTTACTGCATGCCATATTTGCTGCATTTTACGTGGATGTGTTCACACGGCAGCACATGCCGAGCGTTGAGCACCGTGGGGTAGGTACCGTTGGCGGGAATAACCTGCGTTTCTTCTGGTACTTTGGGCTGGGCCAGCTGCTGTATGTTGTGTGGAATGGCACGCAGGGCGTAGCTTTTGAAATGCAGAGGTGCAGGTGGTTCCCTGTTGTTGCCTATCTGAAGCTTTGGCGATTGTCACGAGCGGGTCCCATCTGGGCTGTGTCCTTCATCTTTCTATGGCCACCATTCAGTGTATCATTCCTTTCTCCTGCAGTCCAGTTTACGCTCTGGATGGTTTTATACGATTATCTCTTGGCGCGCTGCGAGGCGGCACTGCGAACGTTGTCCAGGGAGGAGTTCAGACCAAATGAGCGCGGCTTCATCGTGTACCACATATTGAGTGGCGTGGGTGTCGCGACGGCGTACTACCTGTGCGAGTTGGGTGGTGTTAGGAAGGACGGGTTGTTTGCATTTCGGTGCTTCACAACGATATGTGGATTTCTCGCGGCGCTACTGCTCTACGCCTACGGTGGTCAGAAGTGCAAAATGCTGAAAGGTCACGAGTGCGTGGACGAGTGCGGCACGGCGAATTCAGAAGAGTTTGTTCGATTTGCACTACAAACTATGAATCGGTGCAGCATGAAGGCAGGAATGTTGTTTTGGGCACTTCAGGGTTACAGTTCTCTCTTTGCGACATCGTTCTTCAATATGTTCTTAGCGATGAGTGGTGACACTGTCTGCATCCCTGTGCGGATCTTTTTTTTGTTGCTGCTGCATGCTGCACCGCACGCCGTCGTTGCTGTTGCCGCCCCATTTTTTAAGGTGTTGGGAAAAAAACGCGTCATTGGTGGTTTCCTGGCCGCGAGAGCCATGCTAGGTGTCCTCTTTCTTGCCGTTGCCACGCACGAGGTTCAATGTGTTTTTGTCTTTATGAGCGCCAAGATGTCCTCAAGCTTGTTTGTATTGCTGCTTTTCTTGAACCGTGTGCTGACAGATGCCGTGGGGATTATGCAGGAGTCTATTCTCTGCGACCTCGTAGACGAGGACACCGTCATCTTCTTTCGCGTGAATCCGGCGACAGACATGACGAGACGCTTGCTAGCGATGGCGGCGAAGCCGTTGGAGTCGGTGGCAGTAGTGGTGACATCTCTGGGTCTCGCGTGCATGGGGTGCAGCCACGCAACACACCTTGAGGAGGCTGCGGCTGCCGTGGCGCTTGCCGGTGCGACGGTGCTCTTGACTTCCTCGCTGATGCTGTGGGGATGGATGCACTACTACAAACTTGAAGGGAGCCATCTGCAGTTTGTGCGGATGGCGTTGCGTAAGCGCGCCGATAAGGATGGCCGAATGATGCTGGTCTGAGCACTGGCGTGGAAGAGGGCACGCGTGTTGGGGACATTTTTGCTTCCTCCTTCTCAGAATCGTGCTGAGGGAAGGCGGGATTGGACGGGGACTGCGAGGGAAAATGGGGCATCTTGCTGGACCCCGGCGCTTATTTGCGCGCTGCCTGACTCTTTTTTGTTTTTGCTTTTGTTTTTGCTTCCAACGGTATCATGTTGGAAGGCAGAAAGCGTGAGGTCCTTTTATTTTCTTTAAGCTCTGCCACTTCTGCTTACCAACGTTGGGCCACTGCCCACCACAACTGACGCTCTCCACGCGGAGAGGACCATGACGGCTGCGAGGGAGGGTAGGGGTGGCTCCAAACGTTCCCCTGCTAGTCACTTGACGGCGAGAGAGACCGGCTAGCACTGCCATGGAATTGTTTGTTGTATTTTTCTTGAGTTTACTGGTTTTAAGTGTCGACGGCATTTTATCTGTGAGGGTAGACTCCATTGTAGGGTGCGATGAGGCCAAGCTGCCATTTCCCATTATCGTGTGTGGGTGGTGCTGTTGTTGTTGTTGTTTTTGCCACACCGGTGTGTGTGTGTGTGTGTGTTAGGGCCACATCGACGTGAATGTTTGTCGCTGCTTTTGTGACAGCCCCCTTTTTTTTTTTAGTCCTGAGAGTTTGTGTCTCTTTGACTGCCGGAAGTGTTTGGGTATTTCTGCCTTTCAGTAGCGCAGACAATATCAATGGCGTCGAGGCCTGTCACTGGCATGCGGGTGCCGACAATGCACGGCATGACGGGCAGCGTGCTTGGCGGCACAATGTCAAGTGGCATGCGTCCAACCACCACCTCCGGAGGCGGCACAACGCTGGGGCGCATACAAGCCCAGGTACAAGAGGGAACTTTTACCTCAACCGTGTATGGCTATATTCGGGACCACCAGTACGATGAGGCTATTGAGATTCTGCTGCTGCAGCTGGAGGAGTTCCCGCGTAGCCGTGCTGCCATTTCCCTCATTGCCTACTGCTACTACCACGTTGGCGACTTTGACGAGTCGGCGCGGATGTATCAGCAGCTGGTGAAGATATGCCCCAATGTGGAGGAGTACCGCGTGTACCTTTGCCAGGCGCTCTACAAGGCGGGAGCCTACGCAGAGGCAAGTAAGCTCTGCAGCATGATTACGTCCGAGCAGTACGAGATGCGGCTGATGAAATTGCAGGCCTCTATTGCCTACGAGCAGGGAGAGATACCACAGACGAAATCTTTTCTTGAAAAATGTCCACCGGAGGACCCGGATGTAATTGTTCTACAGGGATGTGTCTTGTGTAACGAGGGAAACTTCGAGGAGGCGCTGGAGAAGTTTCAGGAGGCTCAGGCCGGACTCGGCTTCAAACCAGATCTCGCGTACAATATTGCCCTCACGTACTACCGCATGCAGCAGTACGGGCCGTCGCTGAAGCACATTGCAGCGATCATCGAGCGGGGCATTCACGAACACCCGGAGCTTAACATTGGCAGTAACACCGAGGGCAATGAGGCTCGGTCGGTGGGCAACACTCAATTGTTGAAGGAGACAGCTCTTGTGGAGGCGTTCAACCTCAAGACCGCCATAGAATTTATGATGAAAAACATCCCGGCAGCGAAGGAGGCGCTTACCGACATGCCACCGCGTCTGCAGGAGGAGTTGGACCCCGTTACACTCCACAACACCGCCCTCGTGAACATGCCGGAGGACCCATCCAGCGGCTTCAGCAAACTCAACTTTTTGTTGCAGAACCCACCGTTTCCGCCGGAGACGTTTCAAAACCTCCTGCTATTTTACTGCAAGTACCAATACTTTGATCTGGCGGCCGACGTTCTTGCGGAGAACCCGCACCTCAGCTGGAAGTACCTCTCCCATAAAAATCAGTTCCTCTACGACTTTCTTGACGGCCTCATTACGGCGCAGACGTCGCCCGCCGAGGCGTACCGGAAGTTTGACATACTAGCACAAAACCACATTGACCAGCTGCGCAAGCTGACCAAGAAGCTGCAGGATGCCAAACAAAGTCACGACAAGGAGAGTCTTCGCATGGCGCTGCGCAACTACGACGACGCCTTGGAGGAGTACATTCCGGTGCTTATGGCGCAGGCAAACATTTACTGGGAGATTGAAAACTACCCCATGGTGGAGCGACTCTTTCGTCAGTCGGCGGAGTTTTGCTCAGAACACGAAATCTGGAAGCTCAACGTCGCCCACGTCTTCTTTATGCAGGAGACGAAGTTCCGTGAGTCGATTCGCTACTACGAGCCAGTTGTGGAGGCAAGTCAAGAAAATCTGTTAAACTGCAGCGCCATTGTTCTCGCCAATCTCTGCGTTGCGTACATCATGACTGCTCTGAATGATAAGGCGGAGGATATCATGCGCCGCATTGAGCGTGAGGAGGAAAAACTGACCTACGCCGATCCAGATAAGCAGCCACTGCACCTCTGTATTGTGAACCTTGTCATTGGCACACTGTACTGCTCGAAAGGCAACTTTGAATTTGGCATTTCGCGCGTTATCAGGTCGCTGGAGCCGTACCACCGCAAGATCATGACGGACACCTGGTTCTACGCCAAGCGGTGCTTCCTGGCGCTTGCGATGCATCTTGCGAAGCACATGGTGGTTCTCAAAGACTCCACCTTTGAGGAGATTCTCACCTTCTTTGATCAGGCCGACCACTACGGCGAGAAAATCCCCGCCTTTGTACACCCAGACCCCAGCAAACAGGACACGTCCGCTAGAAACACCGTACGCTGGGAGGCGCGGCAGCTCAAGCGCCTCTATCTCCAGCTTGCCGAATAGACGTGTCAACGCTAAGCTCCAAAAGGCTGCAGGCGCCTGCAGTCTTTAAGGCTCTCGCTGAGGACAATAGTGATGTAAATCCGCTTGTGAAGGGACAGCACAACAAAATCAGGGACTGATGGAAGCGAAAGGGGAGGAAGGAGGAAAAGGAAAGCAAAACGAAAAACAACAACAACAAAACAACAATAACCGTCAAACTAGACGGGAAACGGATGGCTTACGGTAGAAGGCGTGGAAGGAGAAACAGTGATCTACACGCCCATTGCGCCTGTACAGAGGGGAAAACCTTCAGGCAAGTAGAAAGTGTCCGGTGTTTTTACTTTGCTATATTTTTTTTTATTCCCTTTAACTTTTCATTTCTGCTTGTTTTCCCGGTACAATGCGAGGGGAGCGAGAGTATTGGGGCGCGTTCAGGCGCGGGGTGACGCACACACACACACACAGAGAGAGAGAGAGAGAGAGAGAGATAGAGAGACGGCGCACGCACGTCTTTCGTCATGAAGGTAAAGATATTAGACTGCAAGAAACATGAGCACTCGGCAGGGGAGACGCTGGAGTTTCAGCTGCATGGGGTGGACAATTCATTCGCCAACGGCCTGCGCAGGGTGATGCTGGCGGAAGTCCCAACACTCGGAATTGAGTCGGTGACGATAATCCAGAACACATCTGTCCTCCCCGACGAAATGATTGCGCATCGTATTGGCCTTGTCCCACTCTACTCCATGAAGGCCAGGCGGATGCAGTGCGCTCGCGATTGTCTGTGTGGCGGAAGTGGGTGTGGGGAGTGCCAAATTACTGGGGAGCTCAAGGTGAGCTGCCCATCCAACACGCACAGCCTGCAGGTCTTCATGGACGCCTTGAAGATCGACGACGAGGAGGTGTACCCTGTGAGCTCCGAGGAGCGTGGCGTGTGGCTGCTCACACTTGGCCGTTCACAGGAGCTGAACCTTCGCGTGGTGATCCGGAAGAACATTGCAAAAACACACGCTAAGTTTATGCCAGTGGCAACTGTGGCAATGCGCTATGCGTCTGACATTGTATTAAACCCGGACGGTTTTGCAAAGCTAGACACGGAGCATCGGCGGCAGTGGGTGGAGCGCTGCCCTCGGCAGGTGTTTCGCTACGACGACAGAACAGCTCAAGTGATACTCGCCGACCCAGATGCCTGTATCTTTTGTCGTGAGTGCCTTTCGAAGGAGCCACCCTTTAACAACCTCGCGGAACCTCTTGTCTTTGTGCGCCATAAGAAGGACAGGCAAGGTTACTATGACTTTACGTTCACAGTGGAGTCAACGGGGGTGCTGCCGGTGCTGCAGATCCTGTACGACGCGGTTGAGGTGTTGCGCCGTAAACTTGAGCGGGTGCGGGACGGCCTTCTTGAGGATCCCAACGCGGATGAGATGGTGCAGACGAGAACCATTGGTGGGGCGCCGACGGCACCTGTGGTGGTGAACGAGGACATTGTGGAACGGGAGGGGGCGGAGGATAACCTTACCTTCGTAATGAACTGAGGGTGGCAAGCCTGCCGTCCGCCATAATCACGGCTATCACTTCCTTGTCTTCTTGGCACAGCAGCCCTTTTCGTTTTTTTTTTTTGCGCTTGTCGTCGTCGTCGTGGGGTTCTCTCGGCAGCGGGGCGGGGGGCACCTCTTAATTTTTTGCACCTTTTGTTTTTCTGTGTTTGCCCTGTTGCTGCCGAAAGCCTTTCTTCTCTTCCGTTTTCTTGTTGTCTTTTGCCCTTAGCAGAGTTTTTGGGCTCTGTCATTGGGCCCCCTTTGCTCCTCCGCTTTCCGAGGCCTCCTTTGCTGCTGCTCGGGTTTTCCGGCCGCGCGCAGGTGCCTCCCCACTCCTCCTCCTCAGCGGCTTAGTTGTGGGGCGCGGGGCCGGCATGAAGCCGTTGCCACCGCCGCGGTCGGGTGAACGGTGCCCGAATGCTCGCCGTACACGTCCTACTCTCGTGTCTCGCCCCCCCGTCCCGCAGGAGGGCATTGCACGCTTGCTTGAACGTAGAGAGCTGCCCGCGGATGTTGATCTTGAGAAGCTCTTTATCAAAAACAAATCTTTCGGGGCGCGGCGGGCAAAAATGCATCCCCACGACGCACGTTTTGCCCAGCCGGTGATGACGACCCTATCGCCGTATAATCGAATGAACGGCTTTGTGCTGGACATTGCGGAGATCAAAAAGATACCCGACAAACTCAATCTGAAGGATCTTCGGGAATGGGAGTCTGCTCAGCGGCGTTCTTCAGACCCTTCTTCCGCGTCCGACCCCGCCTCAATGTTGAGCGACCACCAGGAGAACCTGCCGCCGTCTGGGCGGGAGGATACAAGGACCTACACGGAGTTGCTCGATGTCTATTCAATGCACGAGTTCATTATTCGAAAGGGTGTTACGCTTAGAAGTACGCCTGAATTTGCGTCTTTTAAACGACGCTACGCCGCATGTTGGGGCAACGTGGAGCTGGTTATTCGACGCCTGGAGGAGTTCCTCGTGAGTTACGGCGTAGACCTTGCGTACGTGGATGGCAGAAAGGTTGCAGCACTTGCCACCTTCCAAGTAGACGACATTATTTCTCGAGAGGACATGCTTCAGTGTTTCGAAAATCGTGAGGAATTGGAGCCTCTTACGAGTAATATTGCACAAAGATTCGCGTGCGGCGTCAACGGTCAGCATCTCGCGGCGCAGAAGATTCAGGCAACGTGGCGCATGTACTCCCAACGTGTGGCCTACCGCCACATACTTGTGGGCATACAGGCGGCCATTGTCATACAACGCTGGTGGATCCTGTATAGATCGCATTCTCTGACGAAGAAGACTCTGAAGGCCCAACGTGAAATACGTCTGCTTCGTTGGAAGAAGACTATGGAAGAGTTCACCGAGCGCTGGCCACAAATAAAAGAGGAACGGCGAACTATTGTTCACTTGCCCTCCTTGTCATACCCGCGGTTCCACGCCAAACATGTGCCGTTTTACTTTGCACTGCAGATGGGACAAATCACGCGGCTGACAGACTTGCGTGATCCGTTGGTGGATGTTATTCTGCTCGCGCCGTTTCGACCAGAGCCGGAGGTGATGGAATATTATTTTACGCTTCTGGAGGACTCGGGTGTGGTGAATCCGCGGGGAAGATTCACACTGTTGGTCCCAGAAAACGCAAAGCGACTTCCCTCTGGTCTCAGCCTCACACGACTGGTGTTGCTTAGTTCGCGTCTTATGAAATGCCTATCGTTACTATGCAAGAACCGCAACACGTATGTCGTTCCGGGTGTTATTGGCGCCGAAGAGCATTCTTTTGCCATTGAGTTAAACATTCCAATGCTTAGTCCTGATTCCAAAATTGCGCAAGCCTTTGGCAGCAAAAGCGGCTGCCAACGTCTCTTAGATCTGGCGGAACTTCCCAAACTCGTTGGTATTTACGGCCTGCGTGACCGGAATGAACTTTTTTCCGCATTGGCATCGTTGATCGTTGAGCACAAAGAGGTTGCTCGATGGCTTGTGAAATTGGAGACCGAATCGTGTAGTCGTGGACATGCGTACTTTGACGTGAACCGCATTCGCGTACTGAAGGGTAGTGATGAATCGAAGAAGAACTACCACGGCGTGCTGAGAGAGTTGTTAGACCACGCCAACAAGCGGGCACGGTTGGTTTGCTCCAACAGCTACCCGGACTGGGAGTCGTACGCAACGATGTTTGACACTGTTGGCGGGTGCTTGGAGGCTGTGCCAAACCGAGTTAAGGCATTTCTGTCCGCTAACCTCTTCGTTGAACCAACGGGTGTAGTGAACCTGCACTCCGTGGTGGAGCCCATGCTGGCCCCCGCATTTACCGTGATGGGGTGTCACTTTCCACTGCAGAAGTCTGTGCCATATGCCGCCATTCGTGACGCCGCCCTTTCCGTTGGCAAAGCGGCTTTCCGGAGGCGCATCATGGGCTACATCTCCGTTGACTTTGTGGTGCAGGACACAGGGGATGAGACCGCACCGGAGCTCTACGCCGTTGATGTGGATCTCCGCCTCACCGAGAACGCCGCCGCCCACAGTTTTGCCTGCCTGATAACCAACAGCACCTGGTGCGCGGAGACGGGCAGCTGCACAATATCCAACACGGATGGTGGACTAGTTTATGCGTATAGCGGCATCATTCATAGTCCATTCCTCTCAGCGGTGCGGCAGCAGTCATTTTTTTCTCTTTGCCGCTCGAAGGGACTTTCCTTTGACAGGCATCGTTGTACGGGTCTTGTGTTTCACTTGGTGGATGTGCTGCTTCGCGGCTGCGTCGGCGTGCTTTCGGTTGGCACACGGCGGGGCTACGTGACGCGGGTGATGAAGGACTTCCAGAATCTGCTGAACCTAGAGCTGCCCAAGCAGAGCGAGCATTCAGGGGAGAGCAACTTTGTTTACTTTTCTTCTGCCATCCACCAACTGATCCGGTCGGTCTCCATCTCGAAAGAAATGTAAAGTCGTGCGCGTATGTGTGTGTATGGAGGGGGAGGGGGAGCGCACTCACACATTACAGAGGGTACACAGGAGAGCGAAACACATGCAAAGAAAAATGAGTGCGATAGTGTCTTGTACACACGTATATCATTTTCTGTCTTTACGTATGTATCTCTCTCTCTCTGTGAGATATATATATATAATTTAGCGCGTGAGCGTATTGTGTCCTTTTCTCTTTGTATTGAGGTTTGTTGCCGAGGACAATGTGAGGCTGTGTGTCCTCTTCCTTCTCCTCCTCCTCATGCCACTCTTCTGTTGTGAGCTACCCGTGCCGTAGGCAGCCATATATATACATTTTTTTTTGTTTTTGTTTGTCGCGGCCATGGGGGAGAAAGCGTACAAGGAAAGCAAGATAAAGAAAAATTGGATTATTTTGCTAGCACGAAGACTCACTGCAAAACCATTCGACAAGCACACACACACACACACACACACACACGGTGGACAGGGCAAAGTGAGCGGCCATGTCAAACGACAAGAACGCCGTCCCCATCTCTGTTCTCTCGGAGGATCCGAAGGAAAAGAAGGCCAATGAAAAGAGGAATCGCGACACGGAGTCGCTGAAGCTGAGCGAGGAGGACGAGCGCATCAAGAGCCAGGTGGAACTTTTGGTCACACGGGCTGGTGACAGCAACCCGGCGCTAGCTGCCACAGCGATCCAGCAGCTCGTAGAGTTGCTGCGAACACACACTGGAGGGAGCGTGGCCTCTGTTCCTAAGCCACTCAAGTATGTGCGGTCCATGTACGCGCAGCTGGAAAAGGTCTTGAAGGATACAACAGACGCCTCTGTTGCTGTCAGACTTCATGATGTTCTTTCATTTGTTGCCATGACGATCGAATTTCCTGACGGGCGACGTGCCTCACTGGAGCATAAGCTTCAAGGGACTCAAGATGACTTGGCAGAGTGGGGGCACGAATACCTTCGCTTCCTTGCCGGCTCCATCAGTGCGGAGTGGAAGGAGCGCACCGGAAAGGCGGAGGGCGTCAACCACCTGACGGGCTTTGTGCAGCAAATTGTCAGTTACATGGTGTCGCATCAGGATGAACCCACAGCTGTGGACCTCCTGATGGAAGTGGAGGACATGAATGCCATATTGCCGCTTACGGACAGCCATAACTACAGGCGTATTGCTAGCTATTTGGCTGCTGTTAGCAAATACCTGACACGTCCCATGGATACAGCAGCGCTCCGAGCGGTTTACGACGTTTATCTTAAGATGGAATCGTACAATGAGGCGTTGTTTGTAGCACTACAGCTGGGTGATCGGGGACTTGTGAGGGAACTCTTTGAAAAGTGTCATCGTGCCGCCCTGCGTCTTCAAATGGCACTAACGTGCGCGCGCTATAGGCTTTATCTGGAGATGGATAATGAAGAGGAGGAACTGCTCAATGAAGCCATGGGTAATATGCGTCTTTCGCAACTATACCGCCATGCAGCGGAGGATTTGGATTCAATGGCTCCAAAGAGTCCAGAGGATATTTTTAAGACAGGAATGGATGGACAGGAGTTAACTACCTCCAGTGATAGTTCGTTTAAGCTGGTGTGCGCTTTTGCCAGTGGCTTGGTAAACTGCGGGTTTGGCAAGGACACATACCTTACCGAGAAAAATGCTTCATGGCCGTACGAACAAACTGAAAATCGCCTCATTGCGACGACAGCCATGCTGGGACTTATTCACCTTTGGGATCACGCGGAAGGTCTGCAAGAGATCTACAAGTACTTTTACTCGGATGCCGCCAACATTAAGGCTGGGGCTTGTCTTGCCGCTGGGGTGGCGATGTGTGGTGTAACAAATCCCTTTGATCCTGCCTTGGGGCTCCTTTCGGATTGTGTTGGTTCTCCACAGAAGGAGGTGAGTATTGGTGCCATCCTTGGCCTTGGGTACGCATATGCCGGGACTCAGAGGGAGGATGTCAGAGAACTGTTGATGCCTATTCTGGTGGACACTGAGCAGTCACTAGAGGTGCAATGCATGACGGCCTTTGCACTTGCAATGGTGTTTGTTGGGTCGGCAGATGAGGGCCTTACGGAGACGATGGTGATTTCTCTCATGGAGTTTGCGGAGGAGCAATTAAAAGATCCAGCAATCTGCTATTTGATTTTAGCGGTGGGTTGCCTGGTGCTCGGCAAGCAGGAGGTGGCTGACACACTTCTTGATGCCACACAGACACTCTCGCCAATTATTCGACGATACACAGAAATTGTGGTGCGCAGCTGCGCCTATGCGGCGACGGGAAATGTGGTGGTTATTCAAAACTTTTTTCACGCTATTGCCGAAACAGAGGAGGCGGATGAGCCTCTGGAAGACGCGGAAGGCGGTACAGAGAGTAAGACAAAGCCCGTCGATAAGCCGACACCCTTAAACCACAAGGCTGCCGCTGTTCTCGGGATTGGACTGGTAGCCCTCGGGGAGGACATTGGGGTGGAGATGGCCAAGCGGTCCGTCATTCATGCCCTTCTTGTGGATGCGGTCAGTAAGGCTGGGTCAAACGTCTCGGGCAGGCACGCAATCCCCTTGGCATATGCGCTACTCTCCGCCTCCAACCCGAGTATGACTGTTGTGGAGACGCTGAATCGTCTTTCGCATGACAGCGATGCACTGACAGCACTCAACGCTATTTTAGCTTTGGGAATCGTCTCAGCTGGAAGCAACAACGCCCGCGTCGCAAGCAAACTACGCAATTTGGCCTCATACTATCACAAGGAACGCTTTCCACTTCAGCACTTTTCTGTTCGTCTGGCGCAAGGCTTGACGATGATGGGGAAGGGTCACCTGACACTATCTCCACTGCTTAATGACCGCACGCTGGTGTCGCCGACGGCACTAATGGGACTTCTTGGTTTTCTTCACAGCGCATTATACTGCGACAAGACGATTCTAGGCAAGTATCATTACATGCTGCTTACCCTTGCGCCGAGCATCAGTCCCCGTATGGTGCTAGCCGTCGATGCAATGATGGAGGTATGCAAGGATGGGGTGCAGGTACGCGTGGGGCTCCCTGTGGACACGGTAGCGGTGGCCGGAAAGCCAAAAGCAATCACGGGATTCCAGACCCACACCACCCCTGTGCTGTTAAGCGCCACGGACAAGGTTGAGGTGGCGTCCGCAAAGCATCAAGCCGTCACGACCGTTATTGAGGGTATCTTTGTCGTGGAGGAGAAACCAAATGTGGAGTAGCGAAAGTCGTCTCGCAGTAAAGCCCACATACCACAACGACAGCAAAAAAAAAAAAAAAGAAACGAAAGAAAGAGGGAAGGAGAATATATATTATATATATATAAGAAGCGAGCAGACACACACGCACACAATAAGAAGGAGAGGAAAGAGAAAAAGGAGAACAGGCATTCGTTTGTAATGTTTATTATCAGAGAGAAGGAGAGTTTAAGAGGTCTTTTAGGAGGAGTGTGGGGGAGTAGTCACGCAGGCAGTTTAGAGGCTTGTTTGTTTGCTTGCTTTGGCTCTGTTTGTGATTGTCATTTCTTCCATTTCTGCGCTGCTTTCAATCTGGTGGGACGCAGTGCCGGGGTGGCGGTAGAAACGACGATGAAGCTCGTCTCTTCCTCCTTCCATGTTTTTCTCTGTTTTATTTTTTGTATTTGAGATGGCCGTGCGTCGGTGTGCGCATCAGCCACTGCCGCTGCTGTGCATCTTGGCTGCTGCTTCGTATGCTTTGATGCCCGTCTTTATGCGTTTTGCCCTCTGACAGAGTCCCGCTTGTATTTCTTTGCCGTTTATTTCCACCTCCCTTTTATATATTTGCGCTGGACGGCGCCGTCGTCATCGTCGCATGCGCAGGCTTCAAGTGTGGTATCCCAGCGGCACACGGAATGTGGCGCTTGTCGTTCGGTGCTGCGGCTCACCTTCCACTGCAACCCAAGCGAAGGCAGCGCGCCAGGCAGGCAAGGCCACGCTGCAGAACGCGTCGTCCACCGACGTCTTTGGTGCGATGGCGAACATAACTTTTAACTTTTTGTGCTTAGACAGCGAGGAACGTGCGCGGCACCAACAGCAGCTACTTCGGTACCCGGGTACGTGGAGGTGGTGACTGACGAGGAGTGCGTGGAGCCCTTCACGACTATGCGGCGGCGGCTAGTGGCGAGCGGGATACAAGCGAACGAAGTCGCCGCCGCCAACCCGAATGACATCTCCATCTTCCGTGTGAACATGTAACGCGGCTGCAGCGGCCCCCCTGGCGAGGTGTGCCGCGCTGGTGATATTCGCTTAGGTGAGAAGAACGGGGTGTTTTTCTTTTCTTTTACGCCGAAGGCTGCCCGGTGAATAGATTTTTTTTGCGTCACTTCCGAGGGCTGCGTGGGGACGTCCTGCATCGACATGACCTGCCCGTACTGGGCTCCGTCTGCATGTTGCCACGGTGCCGGCCAACTACCTCTTACTGGTAAGCGTGACAGACTGCTACGACTTCGCTGTGCAGGGCCCCCTCGCAAAGACCATGTTGGTGCGCATAAACGGCGACTTCATTGATGCCCACCGCTCTACTGCACCGTAGACAACGTACGCTGCGGGGCGAATTTGGGAGGGATTCTGAAGATCACAACATTGATGATTCAGCAGAACCACCACGTGATTTCAGAGTACGAAAACAAACTTAATGAGTATCTGAAGGCATTCCTTTCAAACCTCGCAGAAACAGAAACGAGAAATAATTGCGCTTCCCTCGTCTTCTTTGGCAGCTCCGCGTTGCTCATCACGGTGCAGCCACACACACACACACAATGGGCGTTGATCTCTTCCACAGAGCTGTGGATGCCTTCCCGCTGACTATGCCTGACCCCTTGCCAACGAACCTGTACGGTGCGGTTGCCTACAGTCTTGAGGCAAGCTACCAGATGCCGTTGACATTTAATGAAAAAAAAAAACATGTTCGACACTTGTTATCACCTCCTACACCTTTGACACCGCCGCTTGCATCACAAAAGCAGAGGCCATTCATTAAGCTCAGTACTTTGCAAAAAAAAAAAAAGATTCTACCACTTTGGCGTTTGGCATTTGAGTCCGTTCTTATCTTTGCTTCTTAAGGCAAATTGCTATATCTGTCTATTTCAACGCCTGCTCTGTGTCTTTTTTTGAAGACGCCTTTGGACGGCTGACACAACAGATTCAGACGCTGCGTCGTAATGTTTACTGTCTCTTGATGTGTGTTCCCAGCCGCATGCAGTAGGTTTCAGTGGAGGTTTTTTAAAGCACCTCTGGGGTATTTGCGAATGCACACCCGCCTCAATTCACCATTAGATACCTCTGCGTTTACGGGGGTGCAATGAGTCTCTTCTCATGAGCAGCATTGTGGATGACAATTCTTTGCCTACCCCCGCTCCCGCGTCTGTGTATATTCCTTCGTGAGGTTCTGTCAATTAAACCCTGCGCCCCTACGTGAATGTGCTCTTTTACTCTGTCGGCACCAATGACACGTAACTGTTGGATGTTAGGGCTGAGGTCCCGAAGCGGTTCGGTTTACAGACCGTGTTGGTTCTTGTCATGCTTCGCTGCCTTTTGTCACCTTTTTGCTTTGACGCTGTCTTTGACGACAGTTATACGGTGCAGAACAATGCCTCGGCGAAGTACCAGTTCATGCTGCTATTGGGTTCGAATTGCTTGAGCGTCTTTACTATCGTTTCTTTGTCAATGCCATTTTTGAGCCGAAACTTGTTCGGCGTTTGGGACATGGCAGGCGAAGAAGATTTGTCTGTCATCATCATATTGGCTGGTCCCACTACTCTTGGCTTTGTCGCGGCGTGCATCTGCATCTTTCTTTACTGCCGGCGCCAGTCAAGTTCCGCCGCTGACAATTTCACACTGCATAGGTGGCTGACGCCGGGGATGTAGCCATATGCGTCCCAGAAGCCAGCCTGTCGCACTTCGTTGGATTTCCTCGTACTGCCGCGTATGGAGCAGATGGGGGTGGGGGGGACGCCTACGGCTACGGTAGGCAAATGACCAAAGCGTATCGGAGGTGCACCGGATGGGGAGGGGAACCTCGCTTCGTTCGCTGCAAGTTAAGGGAAAGAGAGAGAAGATGCGTAGCCCTTTTATTATTATTCCTTCCTTCTTTCTGTATGTGTTTGTTTGGTCTCGCGTCGCGGCCACCCACTCGCCCACGTGATTTTAGGCGTTGAAGGATCGTTTTTTTTTTTTTTAGTTGCACTCTCGCTGAAGCCGTGTGCGTTGCTTGCAGTCCTGTTTTTCTCTTTTGCTCTCGCCGCTGGTGACTTGTGCGTCCGCCACGCTGACTGCTCCCCCCGTCATATCTCATTTCTCCTACTGCCGCTTTGCCCGCAGTTTAAGCAAGCGGAGAGATTCATCCTGTAGGTTTTTGTGTGGAGCACCGGGCACAAGAGACGAGTTGAGTAGCGGAGAACAACAAAAACAAGCAAGCAAGCAAGCAAACAAACAAAAAAAAAATGGACTCGGCGGACAGCATCGAGAATATACTTATGATGGAGATGGAACGCGAGGTTGAGCGGAACAAGGCGAGCCGGCCCGATCCGTACGGGAACAGGTCTGCGTTGCCTCCACCCTTCGAAATCACTCCCATAGACGATCGTCTCGCACAAAAAGATGAGAAGGCTATCAAGGCAGAAATTGAACGCAGGCTGCGGGCGAAGCAGCAGGAACAAACAAATCGAGAGAACTTGGCGTATTCCTCTTTTCCGCTTAACAGCTCCCCTGCGCTGGAGACTGCAGCTATACACGCATCAAAACAATCTGACAGTAAAACAGACTCCGAGGAGCGTGCACTGCGAGAGGCTGAAGAGCGTGCACTGCGAGAGGCTGAGGAGCGTGCACTGCGAGAGGCTGAAGAGCGTGCACTGCGAGAGGCTGAAGAGCGTGCACGGAAAGAGGCCGAGGAGCGTGCCCTGCGAGAGGCTGAGGAGCGTGCACGGAAAGAGGCTGAGGAGCGTGCACGGAAAGAGGCTGAAGAGCGT